ACTAGCCCTCAGACAGGTAGATTCTTATGTTAGGGCTAGTGTACTAGCCCTCAGACAGGTAGATTCTTATGTTAGGACTGTACACTAGCCCTCAGACAGGTAGATTCTTATGTTAGGGCTAGTGTACTAGCCCTCAGACAGGTAGATTCTTATGTTAGGGCTAGTGTACTAGCTCCGGACACAGGTAGATTCTTATGTTAGAATTTCATGCATCTAACACAAAATAGGCAGTTAATTTCATAGTACCACAATACCATTCTTTTTTCATGAAAGCAGCAAGTGAAATGTCTCTAGTAGGGGGATCTATTTACCGGCTGCTGGCTTCTAATAAACCTCTGCATTCTATGTTTTTATGTACAAAATTGCATAAAAAAGTGTTTACATAGACAAACTTATGAACAAAATTTCATCAACAAAATGTGTCGACATAGATATTTTTATGTACAAAATTGCATAAAATATCTAAGTATGTCCCAAAACAACTACCCTGCTAATTTTATTTGCTGGTTGGAGAAAGCAATGTAGTTGCCTCCTGGAATTAGTCTTATTATCAGATATTATATATAGAATCCATGTAATTGACATTTTTATCACTTTTTCTTCATGTTTCACTCAAACTTTATGAAACTCACCTGTCAGCGAAGTACTGGGTGGCTACATCCCCTATGGGCAGCTTGGACAAAACCACTTTAGCTCCACTTCCGTGAATTGTGTCTAATTTATCATACAGGATTTTCCATTCTGCATCAACTATAGACTGGTATTCCTGCAAAAGAAAAGAAAAACAGAACATATAACAACCCTAAATGTAGGAGAAAATCTCCAGACAAAACATCAAATACTGAAATGAACAGAGGGCAATAACTTTTGCAAAAATCGTTGAATCAAAATTCTTTTAAGGGAGACACAACTTCATATCATGATGATATAATGTATACCAAGTTTCAAAGAGATCCGTTGCAAAATGTAGGAGAAGATTGCCGGACAAAAATCAAATACTGAAATAAACAAAGGGCAATAACTTTTGCAAAAATTGTCTAATCAAAATTCAATTGATATGCAGGATTTTTTGTGTTTGTTTCAAAAACTATGATCGAGATCTCAACATATCCTCCATCAACTCTCAAGAAACAGAAGACAAAGTCTGAACAAGAGCGTCCTTGCCCAGAACGGACAGAGACACAAGTTAGACAGAGTCATTGATCTACCACAGGTGTAACACTGGAACCAGCTAAAGAAAACTGGTCAGCTGACTTACCAGTGGAAAACTTTTATAAAAACATGGTGTTTATTTGGTTAAAACCTGAGTGTAACATTAGAGCTGTCGAACACTCTAAAGGGACCTTAGTGTACATTAAAGCTGTCCAACATACCTCCACACTGTCAACCCGTACTTCTGCATTTTCTTTTTCTGCCTTCAGTTCTAGTTCCACATTCAGTAAGGCAATCTTAGGTTTCACATAGGTCTTCGGCTGCATTTCAAATCCAGCGTAACTGAAGGTCTTTTTGAATGCTACTCCAGCAATTAATCTAGAATCCTGAAAATAAACCCAAAAGTTAGTTATTTCAAACCGATAAATTCATGACTTTAAATTGTACACCTTTTCTGTGAAGTGCAGAGTAGTAATGCATATTTGAAAGCAAATTCAACTATGAAGAACATCATTTGTAAAAACAGAGGTTTCTCTAACAAGCCATTTGTTGTTCCTCTTACAGTAAAAATAAAACAGAGTACCGCGGGGCGGAACAATAACCGCCCGTTGAATGCCATATTGTGTTATATACTTTCTAACATTGAAATAAGATCTGCATCATTCTAAGAATGGTTAGCTGACATGCTATAAAAAATGCAGTAGAAAATCTCAAAAAATAAAATACTAAGGGCAATAACTTTTGCAAAAATGGTTGAATCAAAATTCTTTTCAGGGAAACACAACACTAACATATCATGATTATTTAGCCTTCTAAAGTTTCAAAGAAATCCGTCAAAAAATGTAGGAGGAGATCTCCGGACAAAAAATCAAATACTGACATGAACAAAGGGCAATAAATTTTGGAAAAATTGTCGAATCAAATTCTTTTATGGGAGACACAACTTCATATCATTATTATGTTTAGCAAGTTTCAAAGAGATCGGTCGATAAATGTAGGAGATTGCCGGACAAACAAAAGTTTACGCCGGACGGACAACCCCATACCATAATACTCCTGTCAAATTTGACGGGCGTATAAAAAGAGAACAAATCCAAACCTTGAAGGAATAGACGACTCCAAACCACCCCCCGAGGGAAGGCAACTTCCCTCACGCCGACAGAACACTGACTTCTGTCAGTGAGATGAAACCTTTAAGGGCGGATTCATGTAGGCGCGAAACCTGTCATCCATCCATCCAAACCTTGAAGGGGTCAAAATGAGAAATCCCTATTGGCCGATACTTATCTACCTTTGCTGATTCAGCTTTCTTCATTTATTTTATGAAGCTCTTTTTTTATTTCAAAAAGTCCAGCAAACCAGCAAATTTGAAAACACTCGAGAGAAAAACTCCTTTTTCATACTCCATGATATACCATATCAAGGGGTGATACCTTAGCAAACTTGGAAGTTTTTTCAAAACTTTTTTTCTATGTGTATGTCCGAGTGGAAGCAACCATTTAAGGTATATATATAACACACAACTCTTTGTCCAAGCGAACTTGACTTGCAAGAGAAGAACACAATTGCAAGTTTAATCAAGTTCCCTCCTATTATTTCCCAAAGTTTTGGCCCTCTGATATCCATGAAAAGGGACAAAGAGGAATTTGACAGACTTTGGAATGTACTTAGCAGTAGTAACAGCTGTTACTAGAAGAACAAACAAACAAAAGTTACAGAATGTTACTAATTTGTAATGGTATGCAAATGTATAACCTTTTCTTGCCTCATTTCACACTTTCTCCCGCAAAATGTAAAGTCCTCCCTTCAAGAGTTATTTCAACAACACTCAGGATTTAAGATAAATCTTCCTCCTTCTTTCATCTCTTCATTTTATCAATCCTCAAAACCTCCTAATTATTTAAAATTTTTATTTTCCAAATATAATGCATTTTCCCCACCTAAAACAAACAGATAAATGCCCTGTAATCTTGACCTTGACAAACATTAACTTACTTCAGATAAATTTTGTGTTTGACTGTTGTATGAAGTTTGAAAAAAATCTCTTCAGAAATGAAGATGCAAGATGCTTGAGTGATGACAAATACTTTCTATAGATATTAACAGAGACAAGGACCGTCTACAATCACTAGCCCTCCACCACTGGGTCGCAGGTTCGAGGCCTAAGTGGGGCAGTTGCCAGGTACTGGCCTCAGGTTGGTGGTTTTTCTCTGGGTACTCCAACTTTCCCCCACCACCAAAACCTGGCATGTCCTTAAATGACCCTAGCTGTTAATAGAATGTAAAACACAAACAAATGACGATGAAATATTCACTCAGTCAAGGTCATACTTGACCATTTAAGACAGTTTTACCTCTAATCCACCTCCTGTGACTTTCTTCACACCGATCATGTTCAGTGGTAACAGGTCGTCCAACAGACTAACGGCTTCAACAACCATCTTGGCGAAGAATTCTTTCTGATGAGCCACTAGTTTGGAATTGAGTGTTGTAGCTGCACATTTCTCCAACAAGCTTTTCAGTTCACTGTTAATGGGGAAAAAAACCTGTTAATTCCTCTCTAAAATAAATACTTTTTTCCAAACTTTCCTTTAAGGCTAGATGGGTGTGAACTGAATGAATGTTTTCTTATGTTGATAGTTTGTTTCATAACGTGCAGTAAAGATTTTAATACATTATTTACAAACTGTCGAAAAACTGAAGACAAAGTCCTTGCCCAGAACAGACAAGAGAATAAGTTGATGACTGGAAGCTTAGGGTAGCAGTACTTTTAACTTTATCTTAAATCTAGCACTTTAGTTTTGCAAAACCATCGACCCTAAAAAAGGTCAGGTTTCGTTCACTCAGTGTTGAATTTGAACACGACATAAAAAACCAACATCATCATGCTTTATATAGTCCTGAAAGGGTAGCAGTGCTTTGACCTTCATACTCCTATTGTTGTATTATGTTTTGCAATGTTCAAAATGCTTAACCCTTCCACCACTGTAGACCATAATGGAATCATCCATATCAATGCATGGTCATTTCTACTAAAGTTACATAGGGGTGAAAGGGTTAAACAAGAGGCTTAATGAAACAGAGATCTGTCTTTATTTTAAAGTAACCTTTTGACAGTTTCACATCTCGTTCTACCTTTGAATTTAAAACATCAATCATGAAAAGGATAAATGCTAACCTACGTGGTTAGACAGGTATACATGTGAAGTCCCACATAACCTACTCTGCTCATAATGTATTACCTCGTCAGAGAAAAGATTCCTAAATGAGCCATGATCCAACAATTATGATCATGTATGTTTGTTTCAAAAACTATGATAGAGGTCTCAACATATCCTCCATCAACTCTCAAGAAACAGAAGACAAAGTCTGAACAAGAGCATCCTTGCCCAGAACGGACAGAGACACAAGTCAGACAGAGTCATTGATCTACCACAGGTGTAACACTGGAACCAGCTACAGAAAACTGTCAGCTGACTTACCAGTGGAAAACTTTTTTTAATATAAATTTTGATATGAAAACAAATAACGGAAAATGCTCCATTTTATATCACTTACTTGGGGTCGTCTTTCTTAATCTTTATTGATATTTCTTTAATTCTCTGTACTGACTGAAAAAAATATAAACAAAATTATTAAATCATTTTACAAGAAATCAGTTCTTGCACAAAGACATGAATTTAGTACCCATTTATCAATTTTGATCGACATATCACACATTTTGATGACAACTCATTTTCATATCTGGGATTATTAACATCTGTTCATGGGCAGATGGCATGGGCCAGCTACATTTAATAGCAGTCTGAAAATTTCTTTTCTGAATCAACAAGATGTTCCTCAAATAGAGGAAACACTACATGTCCTGCCGTCATTGGATAGCAAGGTCCAAAGCTTTCTATCCCATGCTCCCATTATCATATCAGAGAATACCAGCTACCAGTGCTGTACCTATAATAAGTAACATGGATCAAGTCTTTAACATGTTCAAGATAGATTTTATAATGGTAGTTGTTGCAAAAGAAGTTGAAAAATGTACATACAACTGTTACTGGTGTTTCTTTGTTGAATAACCCAAGATTTAATGTGCTGTTGATGATTGCGTTTAGTTTCTTCTGCTTGAAACCATGTGTAAGCACTGAGTAGCTAGTAACATTACATAATCACAGGCAGCGTCCTGCTTTACAAACAGGTATTCTTATACTAAATACAAAAGTATGTGATAAGACTATTGAAAATAGCGAGTTGTGTTTTCTATAACAATCTAACTGTAAGGTGTTGAGTTGAGTGGTATGGGACAGGAGGTAGAATTGGTCATCAGTGTTGCTTGGACGAATGCTAGTGTTAATGAGATGCCTCGTTTTTTCAAGGCTCAATTGGAGACTGGTCAGTGCATATGACAAAAAGCAAAAAACAAATCAGCACCTCTCTGTGAGAATATATATGTGTTAAGATAAAATATTCTCAGTGTGTGTACATTGTGTTGTACATATTTTCATAAACAATGTTTGTAAAATTAACAATCAAAATTTGGTGTACATGCAATACAAACTACCTTAATAACAAACTAATTAAGTAGGTCCCTTGCGATGCGCTATAACCGTGATTTACTGTATATGTTGTTCATTAATATCACTTATAACCAGTATAGCTTGTCTGGATTATGTTGAACCCGCCAGCCAACTCTGTTCCTAACAGAGGACACTAGCATAATGTTTACCTTTTTACGAAAATTTAAAATGTCAGTTTAACCAATATTGCAATAGTCGTGACCGACCGGACAAAGTGGTATGCACATTTCAGTCGCAAGTTGCCAATGCATGTCTTGTTTTTAAGCATTTATTCGTCTTTTATAATCAACATAATAACAAGTACTTTCCATCAGTATACTTGACCTGATTTGAATATTGGATTGATTCGGATGCGACTGCACACAGTCACTGTAGGCATAGCAAGTACTAGTGTTGATAAATCTACATTTTTGTGAACATCTCAAACGATAATTGATTATCGATAGTTTTTGAAGTTCCAACCATCGATCTTGAATATTGGACACATGGCCATGTTCTTCTTCTATGGTGCACTAGCCGACGGAAAATATCTTTGCCTAGGTAGTGTATTTGGACCTCATTTATTCTTGCCAACTTTAACTTGCAGAATAGAAAACATATTTTTCTTGATTTCATATACAGATGTTGGTATGCGAAACTTACCAGTGATGCAGCCTTCCTGTAGGCTCGTACCAGGACTTGTGGGTGAACATTTTCCTCCACATAGGGTTTTGCTTGCTTCAGAAACTCGCCCGCCAATAGAACTACAGAGGTTGTGCCATCTCCGACCTATAAACCCATCAAACGGTCAATTAAACATTCAAAGAATAGGCAACATTGATTCAGCTATAACAAAATGAGCAATCATGATTTTCTATAACAGATTAACTGATCATGGTTCAACTGTAACATTAAACCTATCAAGAGTAATTGAGCCAAGGAGCTGACCTCAAAATTAATCAAACAAAAAATTTATGATTTTTTTTTATCGTAAACTGCATGCATGAAAGTATAACATTTCTGAATATAGCTATGTGTTTAATTATGTATGTAAATGTTCATCACATTTATCCAATTTGGTGAATGTTTCCCCATTTATATTTATTTCAGTAAACACTGCATTAACCTAAATGAAGAGAGAGTTTACACTGACCTAAAAGTATTGTAAATTCATACTTGTTGATATTTGATTGTAAAGAAACAGATATATGTTTGTTTCAAAAACTATGATCGAGATCTCAACAAATCCTCCATCAACTCTCAAGAAACAGAAGACAAAGTCTGAACGAGAGCGTCTTTGCCCAGAACGGACAGAGACACAAGCCAGACAGAGTCATTGATCTACCACAGGTGTAACACTGGAACCAGCTACAGAAAACTGGTCAGCTGACTTACCAGTGGAGAAAACTATCTACAAATATATGGAGTTTTATTCAATTGGATAAGGTATTTTTGTCTGTCTAAGTTTGCCAACACACTCATCGAAAGACAAAAATTATTTACTTCAGCATCTTGCGACTTGGCAATGTCAACCAAAGTTTTTGCAGCTGGATGAACAACGTCCAGAGTTTTTAAGATCGTCGCACCATCATTGGAAATCACAGCTTTTCCTGAGGGAGAAAAAAAGGAACATATTAATAAAGAGTTTGCTTCAATATCTAGCAGATTAAAGTTGATAAGTGTACCCTTACATTACACTTAATTTATTGAACTGAACACCTGTAATGGTTTGAACTGAGGATATCTTGCAACTAGAGTGTAGGCCAATTTGATGCAGGATATCAGGAGTTCAAGGCCTGAACAGGGCACAAATCATAACCTTTGAAAAACATGATGTATCTTACATATATGTATACACTACTGTATATTAATCCAATGTTTTTAAGATTTAAATTACCGGTCGAAATTTGAATTGTAATGTTGAATCTATCTGTATACCATAAACCGAAATTAAATGAGTCGGGGATTTTCTCCGATATTACTCCGATAGACCACTTTCTAGCATACCAAGTTCATGATTAAAACTGTAAATGATGTGGATTAATTAGTTTGCCTTACAAGCGTCAGCTGTGGGGAATTTCCCTTTAGCTCAGCGGTAGAGCCAAGGGAGGTGGGTTCGAGACCCAGCGACGGCACTATCTTTATCACTTATCCTCGTCCTATTACAAAACTATTGAGCATGATACCAAGCACAAGTTTTTTTAATTTGCAATATTTCAGTACATAATCTAAGTATGTTTTATACAGCAATGCCACTGTCCTTGGAGAAAGAGAAGCGAAGAAAGCACCTGTTATTTACCTTTATCGTCGACAATAAGTTTGTCCATGCCCCTGGGGCCGAGGGTGGTTCGGACAGCATCTGCGATTGCCAGACAGGCACTGATATTACTCACTACCTGGGGGACACCCTGGGAGGAATCCGTCCCCTCCTTCAGCAAAATGATTTGGGGTTGCTGAAATTTAAAACAATTTCGTGATTACATGCATCAATATAAGCATATAACTTTAAATAAGTTACTAAAATACTGTTAAGTTTATTTTGTAACTGCAATGTATTGTTTCACGGCGTTCGGATAATATTTTGATTTGGTTTCGCCGGTATCCCGAACAACCGATCGCGAGAGAATTTAGAGAACAGATTCCCCGCCCCGAACACACTGAATCAAAATATATCCACATATAACACATTGATCATAAATATATAGATGATAAACTATGTTGAAAACATAAATCATAGTAACTAACCGACATGTTTCTACACATAAACATGGACCGTGCTCATACATGTTGGGAGGAACGTTCCAGAACATGTGTAATTCAAGAGATGAATACATAGTTATCTGAATATCCACACACAAAATTGCTACAAAATATTATAAAATGATTAAAATGAAGAAAAGTCCTGAGCTAAAATGTTGCCTATAATCAATATTGGAACAGATGTTAGTCGATTTTGATGTCATCTCATCGGATACCCACCATAGTTGCCTGTTTGGATTTGTTTACTTCGTGATAGAGAGTTTGATGAAGGGGGATAACTCTACTACACAAAATGGACAAAATCATGCAGAACACCCAATCACAGAACACCCTCTGCACGCTTCTATAATTTGCAGTAGCTCATTTCACAAGTGTTGTACAAGAAATAAAGTGGATACGTTTGTTTCCCGACGTTATGATTTCGTTAAACTTCTTGTGAAAACCCAATTTTCGAGGAACTATTATTTTGGACCATGCTTTATTTTAAAGAGGTACTGAAATAAAATTTAAAAAAATACAAAGAAAAAGGTAAAACTCTATGTTCGTGAGTTCGTTTTTGTTTGTTTTTCTTTGATTTTTCTACACGTGTGTTATCAGAAATCTATGAATAGAAGTTTCTTCTAAATTATGTTTGTAAAAAAATCTTAAAAAATATATGATGATTACGCCACACAAGTCTACCTGCAAGTTGATGCTGTTCGACGGCCCTTTGCAGTATCGCCGTAAATGTAAATGTACAGCTGAGTCACCAAACTCTCTGACATTATTAGAACTTCTAGGCGACGCCAAGAAAGAACTCGAAGACATGCGTAAAGAAAAACTCAAAGGGGCGCTTTTGTCCGATCTAATGCAGCATGGATTGAAGAAGGCGAAAAACCCACAAAGCACTTTCTCAGCCTCGAAAAAAGAAACTATGTAAATAAAACTGTTACCCATGTTAGATTAGAGTCAGGTGAAACTCAGTGTTAAAGACCAGGAAGATATTCTTGACCAGATTAAAAATTTCTATCAAACTCTTTACAGTAGTAAGGATGAACTTTTAATAAATGTTAAATTAGAGGAAATTCTTGGTAATCTAGATATTCCTAAGTTAAATATGGAAGAAGCTGATATGCTAGAAGGGAAAATTACTTATACCGAGGCTCTATCCGCAGTAAAATCATTAAAAAATAACAAATCTCCAGGTTCTGACGGATTTTCCGCTGAAATTTTTAAATTCTTCTGGTCGGATATAGGTCTCCTGTTGATAAGGTCTCTAAATTACAGTCTTGAAACTGGCGACCTCTCTACTACCAAAAAATTAGAAATAATCTCCATGTTGCCAAAAGGGGATAAGCCCAGAGAGCTCCTAAATAATTGGAGACCCATATCACTCCTTCATGTCTCTTACAAAATCCTATCAACATGCTTGGCAAATAGAATGAAAAGAAATATGGATAAGCTGATTCATGAAAATCAGAAGGGGATGTATAGAGGAAAATACCCGACTACTTTATGACATCTTGTATTATACAGAAAAAAAGCACACACCAGGAATTCTATTATTGATCGATTTTGAGAAAGCATTCGATTCGGTGTCCTGGCAATTTACGTATAATGTTCTAGAGTTTTTTTAGTTTGGTCCTGAATTTATTAAATGGATAAGCATTTTGTATAACGACGCTAAATTATGTGTACTCCAAAATGTTTGTTTTTTTCAACATTTTTTAATATAGGACGGGGCTGCCGTCAAGGCGATCCCATCTTGCCATATAATTTTTCTCCTGTGTGTAGAAATAATGGGTATCCTAATGAGGTCTGATCAAGAAATTAAAGGTATTATAATTGTTAACAAAGAGTATAACGAAGTATTCCGGCTTGACACCAAATTTTGAAAAAACTAAGGCAATCTGGATAGGTTCAAGTAAAAATGCCACAAATAGACTATGTAATGAGTGGAACCTTGAGTGGACCAATGAACCGTTCACGGTACTGGGCATCCTATTTAGCTTAAAACTTGAAGATATTCCAAAATTAAATTTTAAAGCCAAACTTAGTGATATCAGTAATACACTAAAACATTGTTATAAAAGAAGACTGACTGTCCTCGGTAAGATTACGGTAGTCAAATCTCTATTAATTCCAAAACTGACTAATTTATTTATGAGCTTACCTAAAACAGAAGACAAACTTACTAAAGTTTTAGAAAATGCCTTTTTCAATTTTATCTGGAATACAAGAGATAGAATAGCTAGAAATCAGATTATACAAGACTATAATGATGGTGGATGTAGGACGACGCACATTGTATCCTTTAATAAAGCATTAAAATTAACCTGGATACGGAGAATTCTCAATTCTGACGCTACCTGGAAAACATTATTGTTAGACTATATAACACAAATGTCAACAAGTTGACAGCTTTGGGAGACAACTATTACATTAGACTATCACAAAGATATATAAAAAAAACAACATTTTGGATGATAGTTTTTATTACATTTGCTGAATATATCTTAAAACTTAATATTAAACCTCCTGACCTGCTAAAACTACCATTGTGGTTTAATACTCAGATAAAGGTAGATAACTCCACGGTGGAATTCAATTTTTATCCGATATGGTTCATATAGAAAATAACCGTCTTTATTCTTATGAAGAATTTTGCCGAGTCTATGACTTCCGCCCACCTCATACAGTGTTTTACGGCTTGAGAAGCTCACTTATGCCTTTATGGCTGACATGTACTTTAAACAATGCCTCGGTTGGATTGCAACAACCATTTATTCCAATCACCATAGAATTAATAAATAAAAGCAAAAAATGGAAGCAGAGACATGTATGATATTGTTATTTCCAAAATTAAATGCACTAATAAATATATTGACAAATGGTCTAATGTACTAGGTGTTGACGACAACACTGAATTAATAAAATTACAAAATATAGTTTTCAAAATAACAACAGACTCTGCAGTGGTTTCAATATAGATTTATACATAGGATACTTGCAACTAACAGTTTTCTTACGAACATTAAAATAAAAAAATAACCCACTTTGTACATTCTGCAAACAATCCGAAGAAACTTTACTACACATATTTTTTGAATGTGAACATGTTGAGAGGCTTTGGCTACCTCTTGAAAACTGGATATTCTCAAAAACCTCCGTTTACATTAACTTTGCAAAACAAGATATCATATTTGGGAAAAAAGGTAAAACATCTTATGTGCAGAACCTTATTATGCTAATTGTTAAATATGACATTTACAAACAACGTATGAAAGGTGATACACTTTTTATAGAAAGTGTAAAGAGAGATATAGTGTACCATTAGAAAGTGGAAAATATATCGCAACATGTAAAGGGAAACAAAATACCTTTCTCCAAAAATGGAGACTCTTTTCTAACTTAATGATACCATAGATTATTTACCAAGTATTGTATATTTATCCACATATGCACCTATAACTTGTACCTAATTCGATCGCCGCCCGAGATGTGTATTAACCAATTTCGAATAATTCATTCCAACTCCAGACCGCTACGGTCACAAATACACAGGTACTACATGTGTAATACGCATCTTGGATGGGAGTTCGAAAATTCTCCTTAAACATCCAAAGTACGAGAGCAAGAGTGTATGCAAGTTGTGTCTTGTACTGTCTTTTATAAAGTAACATGTGAAAAAAACCCAAATAAAGATGTTGGAAGAGAAAAGAAATTATGTTTGTAAAAAAATCTTTAAAAAATATATGATCAGGTTTCAGATCACCTCGGCCCTACGTCTTATTTTTAAACTAAAAATGTCTCCTTTTATCATAAGTTTTGCTGATTTAACGACCGATATAAAAAAAGTTCACATGATTGAACGAAACACGTTTTTTTTCTTAAAACAGCTCTTTGAAATTATTTTTGTGTTATTTTTCAACTTTTGCAGTTGATATGAATAAGTGATAATTTTCGATCGTGAACTTTTGTCGTGGTGAATATTTGATTATATAGACATTAGAAAAATAAATTGACCAAGCTATCAGATCAGCAGAAAAATCTGATAACCAAGTACTCTGATAACGGTACAACACACTTTTGATCACGAGCCTTTAGATCAGTGGACACAACCTGATTAGCACGTACTCTGATAACGGTACACACACTTTTGATCACGAACCTTTAGATCAGTGGACACAACCTAATTACCACGTACTCTGATAACGGTACACACACTTTTGATCACGAACCTTTAGATCAGTGGACACAACTTGATTAGCACGTACTCTGATAACGGTACAACACACTTTTGATCACGAACCTTTAGATCAGTGGACACAACTTGATTAGCACGTACTCTGATAACGGTACACACACTTTTGATCACGAACCTTTAGATCAGTTGACACAACCTGATTAGCACGTACTCTGATAACGGTACACACACTTTTGATCATGAACCTTTAGATCAGTTGACACAACCTGATTAGCACGTACTCTAATAACGGTACAACACACTTTTGATCACGAACCTTTAGGTCAGTTGACACAACTTGATTAGCACGTACTCTGATAACGGTACAACACACTTTTGATCACGAACCTTTAGGTCAGTTGACACAACCTGATTAGCACGTACTCTGATAACGGTACACACACTTTTGATCACGAACCTTTAGATCAGTTGCCACAACCTGATTAGCACGTACTCTGATAACGGTACAACACTCTTTTGATCACGAACCTTTAGATCAGTTGACACAACCTGATTAGCACGTCCTCTAATAACGGTACAACACACTTTTGATCACGAACCTTTAGATCAGTGGACACAACTTGATTAGCATGTACTCTGATAACGGTACACACACTTTTGATCACGAGATTGTGTAAATGAAGATTTTCAGTTTAAATAACGATGTTCAAGATCCGAAATCAAATATCCTTTTCCGACTGGTAAAGATATAGTCAGTTTTCAGGCAATGTGCAATGTCCTGTTTTTTAAACTGTGATTATAAAAATGTTTTATTACCCGCAAATCAGATGTTTTTAGAACTTATAGTATTATCGATGAAATAAAACATGAACGGATTTAAACTGTTTTAGCGCCATTTTAAGCTGTGGTAACGTGACGTCTATATTCTGTCCCCAAGCTTGTTTGTCGGCCCCCGTTGTTCGGTTTAGTTTTACAGGGTAAGCTTAGGACTTGTTTTGCAGCAAATATCGTATAATATTACGCAAAATTATATTAATACCAACTGTAGGCGTTTAATACAAGCAATACCAGGCGCGTAACAACCTATGTAGCAAAAAAGCCCGGG